TTCACAACTGATCTGTAACTCCAGCTCCAAGGGACCTAGTGTCCTCTTCTGGCCTCCACAAGCACTATGGTGTGGGTGATATGTATACATACAAGCAGGCAAAACATATTTAAGAAAAAAACTGAGCTAAAAAAAAGGGCCACCCAAGGGTCCTACAAACATGTATGCTATTCGAGGTAAAGTATGGTGACTATATCAATGCTGTGAATCAAGACTGTATGTTACAGCCATCTGGGGAATCTCATGTCTCTGGTCTCCATGACATCTTCACTCATGTACACATACACATGCATATAATTAAAAATAACAAAAAAAGAGTTAATTTTGGGTGGCTTCAAACAGCAATCTTAATTTCCACAATACTAATTAAACAGAGAATAAGCATGTAACATGACAGAGCAATTCTCAATAGCTGTCCACGAGCATTGTTGTTTGTTCTAGGAAGCCTCAGACACGTAAAGAGTGGGGAGCACTATGAAGCTGTGTGCCAAGCTCAGTCTCAGAGATCACACTGCACCTGTATTTTCATACTTTTCTGCAGCAGAAAAGCCTGGTGCCAGGAAAGAACTGACCTCATTGGTTTGAGGCCTTACCTTGTTTCCTGTGCCAGCACAGCAGATCCCCAGGGCCATCGCAGCTCCATAGCGCACATGAGGGTTGTAACTCTCCGATAATAAAGAAACAACACTTGGACACTGTTCAGGCGTCCTGATAGGAAACAAAGAAAAAGACAGTATTATAGGCAATATGTTATAAACCAAAATGGAACAGCTTTAATTGTCTTTTTCTAGGATACAGGAAACAAAGTAATATTTAACAAATAAGTTGTAGACTTACAAATCTTCCACAGAACAGGATGTGTTGGCACAGACCTACAATTCCAGCACTAGCAAGGATATCATCACTTGAGCAGAGCCTGTACTACATAGGCAATTCAAAGCTATCAAGGAACACAAAGTGGTAAGACTCTTTTATGGGGAAAAAAATGGAATGAGAGTAGAAATATATTTTCTACATTCAGAAAACACTCAGAGAAAGGACTACATCAGGGATTTCTTAAGCAAGCTCTCTGCATGCTGGCTATTTCCTAGTACCTTTCAAAGTGGACAGTCAGGCACACAAAGCATATTCCTCCTCTGTGCCCCCTTTCCTACTTTCTGGGCACTATGTATTTTGTTACATTAGACAAGGCATTTACAGAGTCTTTTAGATGTTTCCAGAGTAGCACATAAAGTATAAACACTCCAATTCCAGCACTCTGGAGGCAGAGAATACCTGTGACTTTGAGGCTATCCTGGTCTACATTTCAAACTAGCCAGAGTTACATAGTGAGTGAGTGGGGGTGGCTATGGCACACTGAAATAAGTAACAAAATTCAGATATTTTATTTCAATAAAAAGTTCTTTGCTTACACCTAATAGTTATCTTACCAGTGTTACTATTTGTATAAACCTTCCAAGAGCAAGAATTGAAGAAGGGATTGCACACAAATCACTAACATCATCTAATCATAAATTGCACATATGAATTTCTTTGTTTCAACACTCTGACTTCTAACTACTATTTCTTTACTGAGTATTTTCTACAACGATCACATTACATCATATTAATAAATCAAGTGCTTTCAGAATATGGAGTCTTTCCCCTCTACTCTCTAGCTCTCTCTACTAATAGAGAGAAAACTAGTTATATTTACACAGGCAGAAACACTGTTCTTGGCAGGGTCACCACAAAGTAAGTTTTAAAGGCATAAAATTTCACGATATTTCTCTGGTAGAGTTACAAGTTTATGATTATCACTAGGCGAGTGCCATGACATCAGAGACTTAGCACAATGAACAGGAATTAAGATATATTAGCTCCTGTGAGGTCCTTGGCTTCCCTAAGATCCAAAACCCACCCTAAATAGAATCTAAGGGCCAGCTAGATGTCTCTAACCAAAGACATCACTGACACCTCCGCCAACAGAAAGAGGACTAAAGAACATTCGCCTCCCTTAAGCCACTTCTCTCATGACCATTCACCCATGCAATTCTATTCTACTCATTCCCTCAGATCCCTCAACCGATCTGCCAGTAAAGCAAGCAAAACTCTTAACTCTGATTTCTGCTTTTAATTATTAACTTATTTGTGTTTAATTCATTGAGACAGAGGAAACAGATGCTCAGAATCAGAGAGATCTGGGTTCTAATTCTAGGGTGATTGATTATTTACCACCAGGGAGACAAGCTCTGAATCTTACTGAGCCTTAATTGTTTCACTCACAAACACCTGCTCCTTGTTGTGCATGCTACGAGAGCTGTCATGTCTCTATGCTCTCACCACCGAAATCCTAATGCAAAACCAGAAATTGGCTTTGGATCAGAAATAGGCATTTGTGTGCTAATAGCTGTAGCTGGATCTCTTTAAAGACAGTGTAACTCACAGTCAAAGGTTCTTTCAAAAAAGAATCAAACAAGCTAGATTTGCTAGGTAGCTTGTGATACTTAAGCTTCTCACTTTCAGATTTCCTCAGCAACTTTTTAAAAATTTATTTAAATTGATTTTTATTTTCTGAACATAGATTTTCGCCTGCATGTATGTTTATGCGAGGGTGCTGGGTCCCCTAGAACTGGAGTTACAGACAGCTGTGAGCTGTCATGTGGGTGCTGGGAATTGAACCCGGGTCCTATTTGGAAGAGTAGTCAGTGCTCTTAACCTCGGAGCCATCTCTACAGCCCCTCCTCAGCAACTTTTTAGGCACTAGTGGCCCACAGAATTTTACAGTTGTCATTTGGCTGCAGTAAGGGCAGGGATGTTCCAGGGAAAACTGATGCACAGAAAAGCGTTTACCTAAGAGCCTATCTTAAAACTTCACCTATTTTATAGTCTCCACTTGAAAGTAGAAGGAATAAATAAGATCTCCCAACACTATTCTTTAGTCAATGCCTCACGTCAACCTTAGTTTTCCTCCCTTCCTATCCACTGCACAAAATTCCAGGTTTCATCCTATTTTCATGCATGTATACAATGTACTCTGACCTTCCTCACCCCACCCCCATCACCTTTAGTAGAAAATCACCTGAAAGAGAATGCAACTTGGACATGTTTTGTTTCTCAAATGGCATTATTATTTTATGAGATTTAGAAAAAAAAATTCTCCCTGGGAACACAAATCCTGGGAGTTGTTACAGGGCTTAACTAGCTCGCTGATTGCAATTAAGACTGAAACTAGTAGTAAGGGCTGAAACGCAAAGCCTTTTTATTAAAAACAAAAAAAAAACCTGTCAGTTTTAGTCTAATAACATTCCAGCTCTGATACATTCTTTAGAAAACCTAAGTGTTTAGACAAGGAAAGACAGCCTTTAATAAACTAGCTTAGGCATTTAATCTCTTTTGAAGAGCACAATAAAGCCATAAGCTCTTCACAGGCTTGTCAGTGTCTCAGACAGTTCTAATGGACAAAGGAGTTTCTAAGCAGTGTCTGCAATGCAAACACATACCGAAAACAAAACCTGCATAGTTATCTTCGCACATCACATGTTTATAATGACTTAAAGTAGCAGTAAATGAAGTCATGATACAACTGTATAATCACTTTGCCTTTATAAAGAATCAAGGGATCCCAACATGATTATCAATGAGTACTAATACATAATGAAAACAATGAGACCATGTGTAAGTCATCACTCTGAGATCTTAATTAGGAAATGAACAAATAAATAGGGAGAGAGAAACAGAATCTGAATGTTATCAAGCTTCCAAAAACGAATAATCAGGGCATATAAAATAGGGGTCAGTGAGATGACTTGGCAGGTAGGGCACCTGCTGTCAAGCCTGACCACCTGAGTTTGTCCCTTGGGATCCACATGACTGAAGGAGACAAATGTAAGCTGTTCTCTGATATATGTGCTGTGGCATGCATTTCCTCCCCATACCACGCGCGCGCACACACACACTAAATAAAATTGTTAACAAAAATTTAAGATGAATTTTACGAAGTACAGAAAAGAAAATAATACATTATATTTTAATACAGAGATGCAATCAACAAAAAGTACTATGAGGAACCAAACAAGAATAATGACCCAAAAGAAGCAAAAATGAGAAAAAGAAAAAAAAGAAATAGATCTAGAGGACTGTCTGCAGCTAATGTTGGATGGGGAAGGGGAAACCACTTTCTTCAGTGTTATAGCCATTGGTAAGATGCCCATGCTCTGTACACGACCTAATGAAACAATGTGCTGGGATACAGACACAAATGAATGTCGAAGCCGGATAGCTGAGAAGAGGAAAGCAATGAACGGGAGTGGGAGGAGAAAAGGGAAAATATGATGGAAATAACTTTAAAAATATTATAATAAAATATACACAAATCCTGCCAGATAGTGGTGGCTTACGCCTTTAATCCCAGCACTCCGGAGGCAGAGGGGAGGCAGAGGCAGGCGTATTACTGTGAGTTCAAGGCCAGCTTGGTCTCCATATGAGTTCCAGGACAGTCAGGGCTGTTACAGAGAAACCCTGTCTTGAAAAACCAACCAACCAACCAACAAAACGAAACTCACAAATTCCATCACTAATCTAGATATAAAGAAGTAAATAAATTCCAAAGGACCTATGAAGACCCTTTAAAGAGAAAACCCTGAGAATTCTAGAGTTTTAATACTAAGCAAGTTTTATAGTTTAAATTTCAAGAGCATAATTGTAAAGACTTATACATTGCCTTTCAAAAATGGGCAGAAATGCATTTTTCTATACATTATACACTCTTCCTAATTAAAAATCTGTGGGAAAAGAAGTTGGCAATGAAACAGCTCCAAAATTCAGAGGCTGTTTAGAAATGAGCAGTGACAAAGTTTCTGCCAAAACCTATGTATACAAGTAGCATGCAGACCTTTCTGTGTGCTCTTCTATATAAGGCAGTGACATGAGCAAATTAATTGTGCTCCACCGCAAAGGCACAACGCTGGATAAGAATCTTGTTTCATTGCTAGAAATTACAAGTTCCAAACCCTCTAGATTATATCTTTTTTCCTCAGAAGGGAAAAACAGTGGAGGCTTAATTCCAAATAAAATCATCTTATGCTAAAGTAATAGCTTACTACATTTCCTCCAAATATCAAAGACAATGCATAAGAATGTAACTTGAATAAGGGTCATGAACTGGTTGGCCACAATTAGCGAGTGGTTTTATGAATTACAATGAATGCAGCTATGCTTTAATAATGACAGTATCAAAGAGGAAATAACCTCTCTGGCAGGCGTACAGCTGCTTACAAGTGCCAGTGCTGGAGGCTCAGAGTAAGTCAATGGGAGGAGGATGTCAGAAGGAGCCCAACTGAACAGACACAAGGACGGCATGCTTAGGAAACTCACATGCAGATAAGAGGTAAGTAGCTAACAAATATGTATGGAACTATAACTTATGTTTTTGCTGTTTCCATCTTAATTTCAGGAGCTTTGTTTCCACAGTCTTTTCTATCCATTCAGTGGATTAAAGTTTATAAATACGAAGGGCTAAATTGATATGGGGATTGTGAATATAATGAACAAATAACTTCATCTTCCTCTTAGAGTGCTTCCCAAGGGAACTGGGAAGAGAAAAGAAGTACTTAAAAAAGAATGGTTCAAATTTGGCAGACTTACGTGATCACATTTAAAACCTTGTAGAAAGACGCAGTTATTACTAAAATCAAATACTTGGCTAGTAATACTTTGGACTACTTTCTCTCCAACTAAAGGAATTATAAAATGAGTCATAAAAAGCATTTAAATCAGCACCCATCAGATAAATGATCACAGCACTCAGATTCTCAGCGGGTAAATCCTAACTCAGCCCTTAGGTGGGCTTGAGTCTGGGTGGGTGGGTAGCAGTACTTACCGAACCCCTCACTTGCAACTCTTTAGAGCTCTGATCACTGCTCTGTGTGTTTTCTAAAGTTAAGGGGAAAGTACCCAAGGGTCAGAGAGCATATGGTGTGCTATCTCCTCTAGCACTGCCTTTGTGGCAAATCAAAAATACAGTATTTTTGTGGGTACTGGCTGAACTATCACAAATGCATACTAACCTATCAAAATAAGAGGGGGTACTTAGTTAGCTCTAGTATTTTTTTTAACTGGTATTTGGAAATAACACAACCTCTGTGTCTAGGGGAAACTCTCTGATATTTAAGTTCAAATTCATCTCTTAAAATTACAGAAAAAAAGGATGAGAAACTAACATCTTCATTCTTCCACATCTATTGATACTTTTCATTGAATCTTCTGAAATCTAAGCTTCTAGAAAAAAGACTAAAAATGTGGATGTCTTACCAGCAAACATGGACGGATGTATACACATTCCCACCTTGCAGAATCTGAATCTTTAAAAAGGAATATAAGTCAGCCTTGGCTTTGAATGTCTGGCATGGGTACAACGCCTTGAAAAAGCAGATGACAAGTTTAGCTACTGACCATGCTGACCACTGTCTGGAACTGGACTGAATCACAGAACAGCGAATGGTTTGCTCTTATAGAATGTCGGAACAAAGTACAACTCCTGAGCACATTTTACAGAATATATGTGATCATTTGATCTTGTCTAACCATTCTGGATTAAAGACAGAATCAGTAGCAAAGGAGATGAAGCTGGTTGCTGAGGAACAGGGGACTAAAGTGCACTGGGCAGCTCTGCTGATATTCATGGTGATAATACCCACTATCGGGGGGAACATCCTTGTTATTCTGGCTGTGTCACTGGAGAAAAGGCTGCAGTACGCTACCAACTACTTTCTAATGTCCTTGGCGGTGGCTGATTTGCTGGTTGGATTGTTTGTGATGCCGATTGCCCTCTTGACAATCATGTTTGGTAAGTATTTCCCTTTGTGCCTGCCATTGAACCCCATCTACTAAAGAACCTGACATTCGTTTCATCTTTATTTTCTTTGAAATAAAAGATGGACCTGTATTAAAGACATAGAAGGGAACATTCCCTCATTTTTTTCTATGATTTGTAATAAATGTGAAAGGACACAAAAGTAATTTCTTAGGAACAATTTTACCCCCCTCAGCCACCTTATAAAATCATTAATTTGGCAATATTCACAGTTTCTGCATGCATTACCTAAAAATTATATTAAGTAAGAAACCCACACTGTTAAAAAAACGTACTCACTTTCCCTTTAACAAAGTAATTAATACCTTGCAAAATTCTGGGACTTTAATAATAGAATCACTGAATCATTGAGTCCCATTCCTATTATACAGTTCTTGACTTGAACCTTTAAGAAAAGATGTTTAGTTACAAAAGGAAATGGTCTGGCTCAGAGTACCTCAAGAGAAGACCCATCTGTTTAACTTTTTTATGGTTTCTGACCATCTGTGTTCCCAATAAACCTGTAAGTCAATAAAATAAGTGGAACAGATCCTGAGTTACTGTGTTAATAAAAATATAGTTTGACTTTCAGATCTTTGTTATAATAAAAAAGAGATACTATATTAAAGTAGGCAAAGGAGTTTCTTCTGTGTGTATATCATTCCAAACTATGTTAGCAAACACAAATGATTTTACTGAGGAATTATGAGGGCTCCTAGTTTCAAAGTCAGCACTAAAGAACATTTAATTAGTCAATGTTTGGGATAAACTGATATTCCACTAATAAACCACTTAAGAAAATTATAGATGCTCAGGCTTCCAAGAATTGTGCTTGTATATGGAGAATAAACACACAAGTTATAGAAGTAAAATTTATTAACCCAGAGCACACTCGTTTATTAAATTAAAAAGTAAAGAAAAACTACTATTGCAATTATTTTTTATAGGAAACAACAGGGAGACATATAAAATGAAGAAGCTGTGTCTTTACATGTACTAAGATGGTAAGAAGTTAAAACTTCCTATTGCAAAGCAACACTCACCCAACTTTAAAGGATAAACAAGCTTCTACCGCCCTATTAGATTCTCTAATCAGTAGTACTGTTTTACTCTCTTTTCCCTTTCCTTTGGTGATTCTGTAATCTCTTGAATATCCCAACGGTATGTGTTAATCACATAAGAAATGACACTCTAGTAACAACCTGGAGCTCAAAGAATTTAGGAAGGATGATGCAGGGATGTGTGCGGAAGGACCTCACAGGATTAAGATTCCAATTCTTAACTCCATAACAACAGCTTGCAGAATAAAACTGTACTCTTTGGTGCTTTGCTAGGCATATAGAAAAATATCAAAATGCATTATTTTTGTTTTACTAATATAATATTGAAAATATTGAATAAAGAATTGAAGGAATTTTACAGAAGTGAATTTTAACTTGAAAGCTCAGTCCATAACTACCAAGCATCTACTATATGCAAAATTCTGAGCTAGGTACTTAAATCATTGCATTAGGATAAGGAAAACACACAGAAAAGTTTATAATGTTCAAGTTAGCTGATAAACACTCCACAAGGAGTTTTCAAATAGCAGGCATCCCATGAGATGAAGAAATTGCTTATACAGAAAATTATTGCTTAAGATATTACCCCCCCCCCCCCAGCAAGGTTTCTCTGTCTAGCTTTGGAGCCTGTACTGGAACTCACTCTGCAGACCAGGCTAGCCTTGAACTCACAGAGATCCGCCTGTCCCTGCCTCCCGAGTGCTAGGATTAAAGGCATGTACCACCACCTCCTGGCTATAAAATACAGCAGAAAACTAAACATTTTAACATAAAATATATAGAACACCTATATACTTATGCCTTAAATTATAACCCTTCTTAACAGCATTTCATTCTTCAAATACTTTAAAACAATTATCATAAAATGTCTCATAGTCTCAACAATGTTGCTACCAAATTATGCTGTACAAAGGAGTTATTAGATTGGGGGGTGGGGAAGCAACCCTAACTAACCTGGGAATGTAATCACCATATAAAATATCACAGTATGAATTCATTATTTAAGACATAATCTATGACCACAGGGCATATGGACAGATGCTACCCTTGAAAAGCATCAAATGAATCTCTAATAACCACCTGAAGTGAATGGGTGGGGACCTGACTTCAAATAGTAAGATCTTTATATATCCTTTTCCAGCTAGATAAATACTAAGACTTTCTAAACTAACACATTTGCAAGAATTTTTGATAATTTTTAAAAGTAGTAGTAAATGATGTATGATTTTCTCTAATTATATGGGAAATCTTCAGAACTTCTGAACAAACCAAACCAAAGTGTTCTTGGTTATATAATCATAAAAGATTAATTACCATTATGAACAATTTAAGCTATTACAAGAAGCCACTAAAAACCTTTACAGCAGTTATGCAGTCTAATAAAGTCAAACTTTAAAAAGACAGAGCTAGAAATAACAAAGTGGCTCTGGTGTTCTTAAGTGAGGGATATTTTGTTCAAACATTTATTTGTAATATTTAACTCCATATTGTCTGAATTTCTGTTTTACCAAGACTATGACACTCTTAACACGATATTTTTAACTTTTCTGCCAAATCTTCTTTGGGAACACTGGATGCGACCATTTCAGGTTTATTTACTTATTTATTTTTATTGTTTTATCTCTTATTTTTAAAACCCATGATCACAATGCAATAGCTTTTAACACAAGCCCTAAAAATACCTACATTAGAAATACTTGGGCAGGGAAGTCTGAGGCAGGAAGACTGAAACTGGATGCGAGCCCTATGGTACACAGCAGTAATGAGTAACAACATATTCCTCTTCTACGCAGAAGCATGGACACAGCCCAGTTACAATATACACAGGCTATTAGCGTTTTGGGGCAATAACAAATAGCAGTAACGTTCAATTTTACTAAGACACTTCTATGATAAATTTCAGCGCTGCAGTTAGGTATGTTCCCACTGTGCGCTCTGCCTCCTCCAGTACAGGCTCACATTCACGCAGATGTACTGCACTCTTGCTCTACTTGGACAGACAGACACTGGTTTTACATGGGTTGGGTGATGTGGTTTGTTTCTGAACACATGTGCCTTCACTGCTACTTGGTTGACTATAGTCACTGTTCAAAACGGTAACAACTGTTATTCTGAGTGCTCTCTCTGAATACACACTGTCCCAAATATTTCGCAATATTATTTTACTGTATTTCAATGCTTTAAATACAATAATGTAGCAAGTTTATAAAACAGGTAATGGCACCACCGTAGACAAGATCTACAACAGTTAACTTAATTCTTAGATGATAAAATAAGTGGCAGCAATATGTGGATCCAGGACTGATTCTGGAAAATTCCTATGCTCAGTCCTTATTGCTCTACTATGCCTTCTCAAAGACAAATGTTGATTCTACCAACCCAAAGTATTATGTTCAGCATATGGGACTAACAAGAAAGCCCATAGAATTTTGGGAATGGTGAGGCAGAACCCTGTATCTTTCAATTAAAAATGTATTTCACATAATGTGATAGAATACTTAGGCCTCACCTAGTACTTGTACAAATCCTTGAGATGACCAACTGACCTATTTTCTGAGGAAGGTACTAGAAACAGGCAATGCCTATGAAGTTGCTGAACCTTGCTGGGAGGCAAACAGGAACTTAGGCAGCCCGCGAGAGTGAGTACCCTCCCAGCCACAGTCTCTACAGCATGCAGTTTCACAATGAACAAAGCACCGTCTTACTAACAGCTGAGTAAAACATCTATAAACCAAAGACAAGTTTTGCTTCTCAAATATCACTCTATGACATTTAGCCTACAATTACTTTGGGTACCCAGAGAAATGCCATTACTCAAATATTACTTTTTTAAGTTTTAGTTCAAAGGCAATAAAGGAAGAAAGTTGAAAATGGGATTTGTGGACTGGAGCACAGCTTAAAGGCATAGTGCTTGCTTAGTCTTAAGGTTCTGGTTCACTTCAGGGACAGTGGTGGTGGTTAAAAGGTTTGAAGAAAAGAGGACAGGGTGGGTAGAATTTGTTTGTCAGAAAAATTTTATGTGAGAGTCCAAGAAAAGCAGTTACTAATCTACGTGCCAGATTAACTTCTCATAGGTACCATTTTTCTTTTCTTTTTAAACTCAAATCTTTCCTGTTTCACTTGATTATTAAAAATTTAATTAATACCCAATCCAAGTCTTGCTGCAAATAGGTGGAACATACGGCATTACAACAAATAAATATAATTATAAATCAAACCTGATGCTTCCTATATGCTACATGGGTGCCCCACCATCAGATTACATTCCTCGCTCCTTTTGTGCTTTTCTACACTGTTGCATCTTTGTTTTAGAGATAAGGTTCTTGTTATGTTGTCAAGGTTGGCTTTCATCTTACTATGAAGTTCAGGCTAGCCTGAAAGTTTTCATTTTCCTGCTTCAGCCTCCAAGTGCTGGGATCACAAGCAAGTGCTACCATGCCCAGAATTACATTTTTGCTTTCTCCACACCCCTTTTAGATCTTATTTTATGTGTTATTTGGCTTGCACATATACCTGTGCACCATGGGTGTGCCCAATGCTTGCGAAGGCCAGGATGTCAGATCCTCTGGAGTCATGGCTGTAGATGGTTGTGAACTGTCATGTGGTGCTAGGAATTAAACACAGATCCTCTGGAAGAACAGCCAGGCTCTGAACAACTTTCTTGCTTTTAATAAAAGGTTTCTATTAATTCAGTGACATTATATTGCTTTCATAAGTCTATCCATTAGTATTTCATGAAAGGTGGGATCTTAAAGATGTATCTCTCTTAATCTTATGTAATCCTGTTCTTTCTTCAATCTATACCACTGCCAGATAGTTCTGATTAAAATAAGAATGTTCTAGTGATCTGCACCGATTTTTAATTCCCACTTTTCCAAAACTGGTGTTCATAAGGTTAACAGGCTTCACAGGCCTAATGAAGTCAGCACTGGAAGGCTTGCCCTTTTAGCCTATAAAGAGAAATACCATGGGTCAAAGAGTCAAATTCCAAAGACATGTAGTTTTTATGTGTTCCCTGTGGCTTACTGCTCACGGCTACAAGATTTATGACCAGAATTTTCCAGACCTTAATTTTCAAATGTAGAATACATAATTAAGAATAGCTAAGTAGGCAAGTTTAAATTGGTAGCAAAGTATTTTATTTTAAAAGTTCTACAGAGACTGTATGCACGTGAGGATAAAACATAGCCAGGTGTGACAGAAGGGTTGCATATTTTAGGTCAGCTTGAGTCACATGGTGTTATCTCAAACAAAACAAACTCCTAAACCAAAAAACAAAACAAAGCAAGCAACAGAACAGCAGTAATTTCAGTGGAATAAAGGCTGCTTTGCATAATTCAGGTCCTGGCTTCAATCTCTAGCAACATACATGCTCTTAAAGTGTTTTTATTTTTGATGAGGATCTTGCTATGTTGCAGGCTGGATTAAGGCCTGGAATCAACCGACCTTCCATGTCTGCTTCCACAGTACCTGGGACTATAGGGACTACACAATCCTACAGTTCAGACTTGAGTATTTTTCTATTTCCCTACTCCTAGCCCAGAATCTAGGGTATTGCTTCCCATCAGTTTCCACTGTGAAACTCTCTTAATCATTGACTCTTTCCCTTCTTACACTGTTTGTCTTTAATGTTGGGTGGTTAAAGAATGCACTGCCATTTTCCACTGACGACAGAAAACTGGAACACTACAGATAAGATTCAACTGCTTAGGTTCTATCTATAGGTCTTTGTTCTGAGAGGCTCTCATGAGGTTTCGTGTGTGTATGTGTGTATGTCAGGAGTCTTCTTCAATCTCTTTCCATCTTATTTTTTGAGATAAGCTCTCTCAACTGAACCCAGAGCTCACTGATCTGACTAGCCTGGCTGGCCAGCAGGTCCCAGAGACCCTTCTCTGTCTCCCTAGCACTGGGGATTACTCCAGTATGAGATCGTAAGTGCAGACTGTCACACGAGACTTTTATAAGGGTTTCGAGGATCTGACCTCAATACTCATGCTTAAATGGAAGCACCAAACTAGTCTCCTTAGCTCCTAAATGTTCCTTTCTAGGAGACATTCTGAGTGTCTTTTAAGACTAAAATAGCCTTTCCTACAAAGTCTTCCTACAGAATAGATGTTTAAACTTTCATTTCCATACAGATCATGTGGGGATTGGTTTACTGCACTCTCATACAATGCCTGTATGTATCAGATGGAACCTAAGAGCCTACTTTCCCAAACAATGACCCAGGTGATATTCATCTCTATTCACTATTTGTAATCAGGGTACACAATGTTCTAAAGGATGTTTTCAATTATTATTTCAATTTTTATAAATGCTCTTCCCTCCATATACTCATATTCAAAGACTTAATTACATCTGAATTGACTCATCTGAAACATCTCCATGGTCATTTTAAGAGGCTAAAAAATATGTACTAGCGTTAAGAAAAAAGATTAATCTGAAGACTACTATTCTATAAGCAAAAAATTCTTTTTCTTTCAGAGGCTACATGGCCCCTTCCGTTGGCCCTGTGTCCCGCCTGGTTATTCCTTGATGTTCTCTTTTCAACTGCCTCCATCATGCATCTCTGTGCTATTTCGGTGGATCGCTACATAGCCATCAAAAAGCCAATACAGGCCAATCAGTGCAACTCCCGGGCTACTACATTCATCAAGATTACAGTGGTATGGTTAATTTCAATAGGTATGTGGGGAATGCCAAAGGTATCGGTGGAGTGTCCAGTCTTTATTTCCATATGGCCAGAATGCCAGGTCTGGTACCTAGAAAAACTCAGAGGCCAAGGAAATCCATTGATATCCGAGAACTTGCACACCACATTCACTGTGTAGCTTCTAAGCCATTATCAGTAAAACCTACATCAGTAGTAAGTCTATGCCTTCGGAACCAGTTAGTATTTTCTGAGGTCCCATCATACTTCGATTTTGATATTCAGGAAATTTAAGCTGCAAAGTGTGTTATATTTGCCAATAAATTATTAAGTTCTAACTAGCATGAGGAATCTAACAACCAAAGTAAAGCAGCAAAAAGTGAAATGCATCTTAAATCACATCTAACAGCATAAACCAGAGAGGAGAAAAAGACAACCAAGCCAAACTTTGTAAGCAGGCACTAAAGACCATAAATTCACCCAGGAAGTTATGTTCCAATGTGTACAGACTGAAAGCAGTTAAATATCCACTTTAGAGTCTTAACTGTCAAAAAATCCAAGATAGATGTTAAGCTAATGTTTAGAAATGGTTTATAGAAAAAAAATCAATTTCCTTTAAACTGTTCTATGATTCTGCACTAATCTTTTTGATATTTTTAAAGATTTGTTTTTTTATTTTATGTATGAGTGCTTCGCCCACATGTATATATGTGTATCTTGTGTGTGTCTAGAGCCTGAGGAGGCTACATGAGGGCACTGGACCTCTTGGAAGTGGAATTTCAGCTGGGTGTGAGCTGCTTTTCCAGTCTGCTGTCATCTTTAAGGCTCAAGGCTAGCTGCTATCAGAGTGCCTTGAATGAAGTGTGTCGTCCATTCAAAGCTCTCTTAAGATAGTGCAAAAAAACAACCTTGCAGATTTGGAACAAATGATCTGATCAGCACATTCACTGCTTTGCAGTAGAAAGAAAAACTTTTTTAAGAAAACAATTATGAAAAAAAGAAAACAATTATGAATCCTGAAGTATTAGAAGGGGAGTGAAAACAAACAAACAAATAAAAACTATTGCTTACTTCTCTCTAACCAGTGTAAAAATGTGCTCAATAAATCAAGAAAGACATCAAGATTATCTTCACATTCCTGAAATAATGGCTCTAGAGCCCAAGCCTCTTGGAAATGTCTAGGAGTAAAAGTCAAGGCAAACTACTAGCCTGGCATGGGAAGGAAGAAGAGTTAAAGAAATGTCTGTTCAGAATAGAGTTTTTTTTTTTTTTTTTTTTTTTTAAACCAAATAGTAATGACTAGAACGAGAAAGTGAAGTGTCTGGTGACGGAAAGAAGAGCACAAATAAAAAGATAGGTCAGGGTCAGCAGACCTTTTCTACAATGGGCAGGAATGTGGTGACAGTTTGTTGGTTAGAGGGTATCTAAATTAAGGCTGGATAACATGACTTTATCAACATCAAATTTCTACTAAAAGTAATTTTTAAGCTTGTAAGAATACATGGACAAAAAAGAAAAAGTGCTCAGCAGTTATATGCGGTAAGTAAATATTTTAGGTTGCAGGCTCTAAGGACTTAACTGTTCTGTAGAAGAATAAAAGTGCATGCCCCCCCCACCATTCACTTTCACTTTTGCCTCTCTGACTATCAAACCCAAGTTGTTCTGGGTAAAAGAAGCTACAGTTAATACAGTACTAATGAGGATGGCTGTGTTCTAGCAAAACTTACAGAAACAGAATGCTAGCCAGTGTTCCTCTAGCTACAGACACTGATGCTCTGGCGCAGAGCACACAAACTCTTCTTTTCAGTGGTAAATATGTAAAGGATGGCAAGGGTAGAGGCTGCTACTGTAAAGGGTTGAGACAATTGCCTTTGTTAAAAACTGTGGGGTATTAGAAATAAGTTGTGAAGACGACAAGAGTGTTTTTGGACTTATAAAACAATATAAAAGATTAATCAGCTTGGGTATGGAGAGATGGCTCAGTGATTAAGGGTACTGACTTTCCCAAAGGACTCAGGTTCAGATCCCAGCACCATATGGCAGCTTACAACTGTCTGTAATTCCAAGATCTGACACTCTCACACAGACTTACCTCTGCAGGCAAAACACCAACACACATAAAATAAAATTTTACAAAAAGATAAATCAGCTCACTTATTTAAACAATATCTGCTGCTTTGAAGCTGTGACTCTTGTGTTATTCCCTTTTCTAATAACTACTTCACTGATCAACATCATATTTAAATACTTACTTTATAGTACTTAAAGTATTAAATAAATAGCACAAGGTATACCATATTATTAACTATTAGAGGAACTCTCAACCTTGAAAACAAGTTTTATAACTTGTACATTCTTGTTTCTTAAGTAGAAATTTTTAAAGAAAGTCCATTTTTTTCTCTATAAAGTAAGGATTAAAATACATTCACAAATACCAAAAGATAAAACTCTTAAGTGAAACTGTATAACCTCAAAGCTAATAGATAAATAGATACCATTCGAAAATGAAGACACTGAATCTCTAAATTCTCTCCAAATTAACTACTCTGCATATTAGCCTTATCTTCTGAGTTCTTTTCCAACCTGGAAAAGGCAGATTTGCTCATTTAGAGTCCTTTGTTTAGATTCCATTTGTCAAAAGATCTGTTGTTAACACCCGGCAGATTTGAAGCTGAGGGTTTCAGAAATTATAAAGAATTCATCAGCACAGAATTTCTAAAATTTATCTCAAAACAACTAATTTAAGAACAAGAGGTCATGAAAATGACTCCATTTATCTTGCTTCCTCTTCCTTAGGCATTGCCATCCCAGTCCCTATTAAAGGGATAGAGAATGATGTGATCAACTCAGACAATATCACCTGCGCGCTGAAGAAGGAACGCTTTGGTAGCTTCATGCTCTTTGGTTCGCTGGCTGCGTTCTTTGCACCTCTTGCGATCATGATAGTCACCTACTTTCTTACTATTCACGCATTACGAAAAAAAGCTTACTTGGTCAAAACCAAGCCACCTCAGCGCCTAACTTGGTGGACTGTGTCCACTGTTTTCCAAAGAGAAGAATCATCCTTTTCCTCACCCGAAAAGGTTGCAATGCTGGATGGTTCTCACAAGGATAAAACTCTACCTAACTCAAGTGATGAAACTCTTATGCGAAGAATGTCTTCAGTTGGAAAAAAATCAGCACAGACGATTTCTAATGAACAGAGAGCCTCAAAGGTTCTTGGAATTGTATTTTTCCTCTTTCTACTTATGTGGTGTCCCTTTTTTATTACAAATATAACTTTAGCTTTGTGTGATTCCTGCAACCAGGCTACTCTCAAAACGCTTCTGGAAATATTTGTGTGGATAGGTTACATTTCCTCAGGGGTGAACCCTTTGGTCTACACCCTCTTCAATAAGACATTTCGGGAAGCATTCTGCAGATACATCACTTGCAATTACCGGGCCATAAAGTCAGTAAAAGTCCTTAGAAAATGTTCCAGTACAATCTACTTTGGGAATTCAATGGTAGAAAACTCTGGATTTTTCAAAAAACATGGAATTCGAAATGGGATCAATCCTGCCAAGTACCAGAGCCCAATGAGGCTCCGAAGTTCAACCATTCAGTCTTCATCAATCATTCTCCTAGATACACTTCTCCTCACTGAAAATGATGGTGATAAAACTGAAGAGCAAGTCAGCTATGTGTAGCAGAATGGGCAGTCCTCATCTAGCTCAAGTAAGGGGATGAGCACGATGCTAGTGCACCAAGACAAATGTACAGAATAAAAAATTATCTCCTGAAAGCAGGAGTTTATATTCAGGTAGTCCAATTTCCTTATCTAAACAAGTCAAAACATGAATAAAGTAGTTTTGTATGGCTACAAACAAAAGCAATTCCTACTCTGGTTTTCAAATGAAATAAAATTATATAAATCAACAAATTTTAGTCTTTAAAAAAATCAATGTCATAAATTAAGTTCCTAATTGTATGTAAAATTGGGCTAAGAATGAAATAAAATGTTAACTCTCTAAGTTGTTTTTTGGTTTGTTTGTTTTGTTTTGTTTAAGGGAGAGTTTCTCTGTGTAACAGTTCTGGCTGTCCTGGAACTTGCTTTATAGACCAGGCTGGTCTTGAGCTTAGAGATCTGTCTGCCTCTGCCACCCGGGTGCTGGGATTAAAGTGCTGCAAAGGCCTGACTAGTTTTTTTTTTTTAAAAAAATAGATAGATTGATTGGTTATGTATGCAGTGTTCTGCCTCATTATAGATGGTTGTGAGCCACCATGTGGTTGCTGGGAATTGAACTCAGGTCCTCTGGAAGAGCAGCCAGTGCTCTTAACTGCTGAGCGATATCTGCAGTTCAACTCTCTAAAATTTTAAAAGCATAAGGCATAAACAATAGTGCCATGATCAAAAGACAAAAACAAATGACTGAAACAGTGATTATAGAATAGGGAGATGATGGTTCAGAGCTCACTATGAAAGAATGAGAGCCTGAGTCTGGATCCCTTACATCCACATAGAAAGTGGGTATAGAAATGCCTGTCTGCAATCCTACTGCTGATGAGGACAGGAGAATCCCTGAGCTCAATAGTCAGCAACTCTTGCTGAACCAATGAGCTCCACATTCAGTGAGACCTCCCTCAATCCCAAAAAATGATACAAACTGGATTTTCTTCCCCCCAAAATATACATATAAAACCCAAAAACCAAAACAAACAACAAAAAACTTATAAAAAAATCATATTTGGAGGTAAATGAGAGTGGATTTAATGGTAAGACAGTTAAATTTTCCTCCTCAGGAAGCTATCTTGACAGAAGGGACGGAGAGCACAGTAGTTAGATGTCAGGCAATGTAACAGGCCTTAGCAGTGGAACTGCTAACAGGCATTTTGTCAGCGGAAGCAGGTCCATTGGAAGAGGAGGAGGAGAAAGAAAATGAAATCACCCTTGGGTACGTGATCCACATTGTGCTCCTTAAAGGTGTGAAAACAACATGCTAAAACTGGAACTATGGAACCCCAATGCAGAGACCTAAGTAGTGAGTGATCTCATACAGAGGTTACACCTGCTTGTATTTATCCAATTGATGTGGCTGAACTTCTAGTACAAAATTTTTCACTTACTGTTTGTTGTTTCACCTTGCACTGTTAACAGTTGGAAATGAGTCCAACCTGTACCGGATAGCTGACTGAACGTAGAAATGATCTTTAGTTTAGCTGTACCTCAGGTTTTGTGTCTACATTTTGTGCCATCCTTAAGAGGGATCAGCAAACAGTATCAGTTCTACTGACTGTGGGGGCATTCACTCAATGCAAACAAATCTAGGCTGGAGGAGGTGGCCATAAAGATGAGCCCATATCTTGGCTTTGCCATCTAAAGCTGAGCTGTACACATACTTTGGCCTCTTGCTCTATCACTGAGCCTTTCTAGGCAATTGAGTTTAGGATAATTACCTTATAAAATGTGTGGGATGGATGGATAATCTCAGTGTAAGTAAATCAAACACATCTCTAGAGGAAGAATCTTTTCCAGAACATGGATGTACAGACCCCAATATATACATATATGTATGGGCTCTGAATCATCTGCCAGGCAAAGTATATCTCAAATTTTAATTAATTTATCATGAGAGCACTATGCACTTTCCCCTAGTGGTTTTAATACTTTTTAAAAACAGGATACAGATGTAATAGTTTAGTTAAAAAACAAACAAATAACAACAAAAACCAAAATAATTTATACTTCCCAACCCCCAAAATAGATTAAAAAAAACAAAAGCCAGACACAGAGAAAAAAATCATCCTGTTTTGGTTTGAGGTTATAATCTGATGAGTCTGTCATATGTTAAGATTTATATTCTTGTCACAGCAAACAGATTATTTCCTTCCCCTTCCTGATGCTATAGATTAAAGTCAGGGACTCATGAAAGCCAAGACAAGTGTCTTACTGCAAAGCCACCCCCCTAACCTAAGGTGGCTACTGTCAGGCATCACACTGATAATACTCTAAGCTGTACATTTTATACACCCAGAAGCACACACAGGTGTTTCAGAAACTCTGAACTCTAACTGTAATACTACCAAGCACTGCCCAACATGCTCTATACTGTTTGCAGATTTCCATTACTGCACACCTACAAAAGCAATAACAGAATCTATAAACTAGCTTCAGCTATTTCTTAAAGAATCTTTGACTTTATCTATAGCTAGTGAGATGATTCTAGCATTTCCAGATAGTCTATTGATTAAAATATAACATTATTATCAACTACTTGTGAAAAGGAACAACATAGTTTCAAAATTTTACTGCTATTTAATTGAAATTTCTATTTTATGACTTTTTTTTTTTTAAAAAGGCAAGTCTCAGTATATGTAGCCAAGGTTAGTCTTAAACTTATGATCTTCCTGAAGATGGGATTACAGGCATATACAACCATGATATCTATCAACTTTTTAAAACCTACATTTTGCTTATTTGGTTTTGGATTTTTGTCTTTTCATACAGCGCTATGGATCAAATTCAGGGTCTTACAGATGACAGAAAATTGCCCTACCACTGAGATCAACCCCCAGGTTTACTTTGCCACTGATCATCATAATCATTATAAGCGAATAACAGTTTCTAAATCTGGAGAAAGACTGAAAATAGTATAACTGCACGGTCATCTTGTGAAGAAAGGGAATAATACAGATGAGAATTATACACAAAGATAATTTCATTTCAATTGAGGAAGAATAAATGTTTTTGATATTTATGTCTAATTAACATATCTAAAGAGTTTGTTTTTGTTTTTATAAATCAAGGTATAAGCTAAATGACTGAAAGGTTATTTTAAGAGATCAGAGATGATGGTACACACCTGTAATCCTAGCAGGATGATTATGAGTTGGAAGCCAGCCCGGAACAAGAACCTGGTTCAAAAACCAAACCCTGACTATCAGAGGAAAGGGAAAGACAAAACAGTGAGCTCTGGAGAGATGGCTCAGCAGTTGAGAACATGTGATGCTTTTGCAGAAGGACTTAGGATTCACTCTCAGATCCCACATCAGTGGCTCACAACCCTAAGTAGATCTGATACCCGGTTCTGACCTCTGTGGTTTCTACACACATGTGATGCACATATATACATGCAGGTAAAACACATAAGGAAAAAAAATTAGAGCACAATACTTGAAAGTAAATGATGTCACATGAGGAAACATAAGAATTTTAGACAACAAGACAGACACTTCTCAAATATTAAATGCAACCAGGAAACTAAGAACAATATTCTATTAGCACCTTTTCAAGGAAGACAGAGCTCTGGCAAAAGCACAGGGAGAGAAAGCTAGATTTATCATGAGACTATTTGGAATCTAAGGTTCATCATTTAGCTCCACAATGCAAACTTTGTGAAATTTAATAGTCTCAGTGTAAAAAAAAAATATGTATTTAATATGGGCCAACAAGATGGCTTAGTAGGGAAATGCACTTTGCTGCCAAGCCTGATGACTTTAGTTTGATCTCTGGGACCCATGTGGTACAAGAGAATTGACTCTTACATTTTTCCTTTTACTTTCAACAAGTGCATGGTGGTACACACATTGCCCACAGACATACATATACAAGTAAGTAAAAGTAATAAAAACATTTAAAAAGAGTATTTACTGATTTCTAAGTTCCTTTCACCTTTAAAAATTCATATTTGGAAAAAAATGCATTGAAGTGAAATTTAAAGAACTTACTTCTAAACTCTTGTTCCCTAAACTAATTGACCACATTCAATTTTCTTCATCTATAAAAATGTTTTAAGCAAGATACTCAACAATTCCTAGCCCCTATCTCTTCAAGAAGGTATTCTGGAAGACAACTCATTGAGGTCAATAAGCCACACACAGGGCATACACCTGTAACCTCTGCTACTTAGGAAACAGAGGCAGGAAAACCTCTTGAGCCCAAGTTCAGGACCAGCCTGGGTAACACAGAACATGCACACACATCATTTGACTCACTAGCGCCACCTGACTATCATGGTGTGAAAGGAGTTTACTAACAAAAGATGGCTCACAGGTGACACCTGCTGCTGAAACTGGGATTTAGCACATTGTATGAGCTAGTAAGAGCCAAAAAAATTTAAAAAGCAGGTATTACAGAAAACTGAACAGAAAAATGTTGTTTTAATTCTCAAATCCACAATGTTTTTCTTTCAGACACACAGAAGCAACCTTACTGGCATCCCTCTGAACTTTGATATGTTTAGGTATTTAAACTTTTACATAAGAAATAGAATACAAACAGAATCTGAAGCTAAAAATTATTACCTGAATAAAATGAAGCCAAGTGATTCTACTGCTGCTCTCCTGACGTCATCATTAACATCACTTACCTAGGGGGAAAATTTAAGATGATTGTAACACACATTATAATACACATTCCATTAATACATTGATATAAACGCCATCACTCAAATGTAAATTAGGCCTTAATAATATTTTTGATAAGTTTTAACTAAGTATATAAAAACATATACCTCAAATATATACAGTAAATAAATTTAAAAAATAATAACACATGTAGTTTTTTTTGGTTTTTTTGTTTTGTTTTGTTTTTTTTGGTTTTTCGAGACAAGGTTTCACTATAGTTTTAGAGCCTGTCCTGGCACTAGCTCATGTAGTTTTTAAAAAGTCTTTCCTAGCTCTCTCCTCCAGCCCGGCAAGATGCCCAAGGGAAAGAAGGCCAAGGGGAAGAAGGTGGCCCCGGCTCCCTGCCGTCATGAAGAAGCAGGAGGCTAAGAAGGTGGTGAATCCTTTGTTTGAGAAGAGGCCTAAGAACTAGAAATGGCTTAAATTAAAATGTAAGAGTTAGCCAATAAGAAGCTAGAGCTAATGGGCCAAGCAGTGATTTAAATAATACAGTTTTTGTGTGATTTTTATGGGAGCCTGGGTGGCCAGGAAACAAACAAGCAGTCCTTTTTACAACAAAAATCCAGCAAAATACAAATGTTTACAATATAA